GGATAATGGCGAGTTGCATTTCTTCACTCTGTCACAGGATTTTGCGAGAGGCCCAGGGTTCGAGTCCCGGCAGCGCAAAACCTTGGGCAAGTTTCCTTACTCCGCACGCCCGATCGTAATCGCTCAAGAAAAAAAATACTAAAATAATATATCGGTCTCTTCAATCCACGGCTGTTTGTGGGACGCCACTGTGCGCAATTGTCTGCCGCGTTTCGCCCGCCAACGTACAGTCAATTCGCTTTACGGTAAATCCCGGGAGGCGCTTCGAGACGTGAAAAGCGCTACATCAAATGCAAGGATTATTTTTTTATTTTATGTTTGTTTCTGTATCGAGATAAGCGTAAGTATTCTCTTCTACCGTCCAATGAACATATTATTTGGGATGTTAAAAAAAAATCACTCTGCGCAAAACTCTCGGACTTTTGGCTAAGATCAAGTGTAGCTGCTGTTCACATCGGTTGCTCCTGGAGCTGGTGATGGGACAGTTCATCTCCTATTGAGATCGGCTTGTGATGGTTTGTTATCATGACCCAATCTCACCCAGAACTGGATGTGGGAAGGATTGAGGTCCAGGTTACAGCTGTGCCTTCCGCCCTCTGGTGGTCCGGGTCGGCATTGCGTCACTTCCCACCTGAGGCGGATGATCTGCCCTCACACGGAGGAGGAGGAGACGCTGGAATCAGAGCTCATTTGAGCACCAGGTCGCTAGGCTGAGGCCGGGCCGCCAGAGAGGCCATCCCGGCACCTGACCTGCTCGGGGTGGGTGGTGGGTGGGGGGGGGGTTGTGAAGACATGGTTCAGGTCCTACGACAACCTCGCTCAGCAAATCAAAAACATGTAGAGGAACCTTGATGCACATATGAGAGGGAGAGGGGAATAGAGGGGTGGAGACTCGGGTGGATTATAAACACCGGCACCGACTGGTTGGGCCGAATGGCCTGTTTCTGTGCAGCAATGTTCTTTGTGACGATTCTATAACTGATGTCACGCTCAGGAAACAGACACTGTCAGGCACGACGTTTGTAGCATCATTTTAAGGAGAGCGATTCTTGCCCACCTGTCAGCGTGTCATAGACTTGGGCTGGTACAATCCTCACTCAATATAAGGGCTCGATTTATTCAGCCCTGCGATGTCCCTCCCCCTGAGACACTTCGACCCAGGAAATACCCACAGTCTATTGGCTAGGGTGGACAGTAATTACTGTCTCAAACTGCTGAGTCCCGGACACACACATCGAGAAATTAGTCTCCCTGCCCTGCCCCTTGGGACCGAACTCAACCTGAAATGGTCTAAACTAGACCTAGATTTCCTGGTCCCAATGCAGCTACACATTAGCTTTGTTCTTCACAAGGTCACAAGATTGTTTTGGATGAAGGAGACCCTTTGGCCCAACTGATCTTATCCCTTCAGAGCACCCGCTCGACCATCCTCCCATCACGGTAATGAGCTGTTTCCTAAATGAGTCCCAGCGTCCTGGCCTCACCCCCACCCTCCCCGGTGTCTGTCCTGAAATTACTTGAGGTTCCAAATCTTCGTTGGCCTCTTGTTCTGATCCTTTATTCTTGTACAACAACAATCTGCGGGTCCAGCTATCAGCCTGGCTGTGTTGGAGCTCTCTCACTGCTGAGCGACCCAGGGTCAATCCAGAATCCTTCACAGATGTACGGACATGTTTATTTTGCCCGCCCCATTATAACGCAGACCTCTGAGATTATGGATCGAACCAAAACCGTGGATTAGAACGGGATCAGTCTGGGTTACAATGGTCAGAACCATTTTGGAAAGACAGACACGAAGGAGGTTCCTAGTCTGGAATTACTGTCCAAATAATTTACATTTGTACCGTGTCTTTCACATCAGGAGGACGTCCCAAAACACATTCACAGACGCCCGAGCGAGGAGTGGGTGGAAACCAAGGTCGGGTGGGAAGAGGAAAGATGACCGAAAGCAAAGAGGCAATCGTTAGAAATGTGCCTTTAAAGAGGGGAGCGAGGGAGCAAAAAAGGAGAGGGAGGGAACAGAATTCAGTCACTCTACAAATAAAAATCTGCTGTCACTTTTACACAACATATCTAATCAGAAAATTGTCCGGTGTATGTTCTACTCAGAATGGCTTAAGCATTGGGACCCTGGGTGGGATGGGTGGGAGGGGGGATTCAAAGGAAGTGGGGGTTAGGGTTAGGCTGATGTGCAAACATACACAGCTGGAACCAGCAGCAAGATCTTGGCTGGTTTCACCCAATCCAGCTTTTCTCCTTATCCCAGGGATACTGAGGCCAATTTTATAGTCCTAACTCGTGACTGATTTTATCCAAGGTCAGACGGCTATCTGACACATGCAGAAACCCATCACCGCGATCAGCCAGGTGTCTGACATACTCAGAAACCCATCACCATGATCAGCCAGGTGTCTGACATACTCAGAAACCCATCACCATGATCAGCCAGGTGTCTGACATACTCAGAAACCCATCACCATGATCAGCCAGGTGTCTGACATACTCAGAAACCCATCACCATGATCAGCCAGGTGTCTGACATACTCAGAAACCCATCACCATGATCAGCCAAGTGTCTGACACACTCGGAAACCCATCACCGCGATCAGCCAGGTGTCTGACACACTCGGAAACCCATCACCGCGATCAGCCAGGTGTCTGACACACTCGGAAACCCATCACCGCGATCAGCCAGGTGTCTGACACACTCGGAAACCCATCACCGCGATCAGCCAGGTGTCTGACACACTCGGAAACCCATCACCGCGATCAGCCAGGTGTCTGACACACTCGGAAACCCATCACCATGATCAGCCAGGTGTCTGACATACGCAGAAACCCATCACCATGATCAGCCAGGTGTCTGACATACGCAGAAACCCATCACCATGCTCAAAAGTCTCCAACCCAGACTGAGAATTCCACATAGGTATTCCGTCTACACATGGGAATTTCCACATGGCTGGAATGGAATGTGTGCTCTCTCCCTCTCTCTCCCTCTCTCTTTCTCTGTACCCATTAGGTACGCAGGCTCACATGTGCAGAACTCTTACTCTGTGCTTTGGAAACGTAAGCATAGTGTTGGGTTTGAACATTAGGACCTCCTTCAACTGCCTCAATGTTTACCGCAAGGGGCCTGCACCACTGAGACAACAACAACTTGCGTTGATATAGTGCCCTTCACGCAGGGTAGCGTCTCAGGGCACTTGGAGACGTAAAGCACAGTGATGGGTTTCTGTGTGTATTGGACGCCTCGCAGACATCAGGCTGCTGAGTGCAGGGAGAAAGCAGCCTGCGATTGGCACGGAGAGCGCTGCAATCTCAGCCAGATGGGAACATAAAATAAACATTACAATCAATTCTTAACATTCACATTGTTTAGCACGTTCCGGCCG